ATGTTTATAAAAAAGTTCAAACTTCAGTTCAAAAATTTATTTGTAAGTCTGAGTGGATTTCTATTGCAACTGATGGATGGACAAATATCCGTCAAGATCATATTATAAATTTTATGGCTATTGGCAAAGATCGAAGAACTGAGCTTGTTAAAATTAAAGATACTTTTGGAGAAAGTCAAACTTCAACAGTTATTTTTAGAGATTTAGAAGATATTTTAATACGAATTGGTACTGAAAAGATCAATGCGATTATTACTGATGGAGCTGCAAATTATATTCGTATGAAGTTTATACTTATTCAAAAATATTCAAATATCTTGGCATTACCATGTACAGCACATGAATCAAATCTTTTAGTAGCTGACATGCTAAAGCATGAATATATGAAATTGACTATAAGTTTAGCTACAAAAATTATTACTTATATGCGAAAAAGTACACAGGCTATCCAATATATTCGAGCCCGTATAAATAATATCACATTTCGGTTTTCACTTCCTACTTTTACACGATGGAATTCTTTTTTTGTATCTTTACAACAAGTGCAAAATAAGGAACAATATTTAAAGGACATGGCATATGAAATGGAATCACGTTTAGACAAAGCTATTATATCCATTCTTAAGGATAATATATTTTGGCACCATTTAAGAATTATTGTTCATATATTGGAAACTTATTCTCTTATTCCTATTATCTTGAAATCTCGCCAAGCTACATATGCTGATACAGTTTATTTTTGGGCAAGAATGCAAATAATGGTTAATACAATAGATGATGTTAATTTTAAACAATATGTTAGTACACGAATTCAACATCGTTGGGATAGAATGTATCATTCACTTTTTCTTGTCTGCTGGTCTCTCCATCCTCGATATGTACTTACAAATGCTATTCGCCCAGAACTTGCAACTGTTATTAAAAGAGAAGCAAGCTTGTTATTCGGATCTCTTTTTCCTAATAAGGATATTATAAGATTTCGAAAGCAATTAATTGATTGGAAGAATAAAGCTTATCCTTTTGATTTTGAAGGCAATTGGGATGACTATCTAATTAAAGATCCAGTGTATTTTTGGAATAACTTTCAAAGCGAAGTACCTGAATTAGCACTTTTTGCTTCTCGAATTATGAGCATTCCACCAACATCAGCTGATAGTGAACGATTCTGGTCTGTAATTTCAAATATACATACACCATGACGAAATAGATTAACAAATGATAACGCTTTTAAATTAACTTGCATTCGGTGGAATATGACTCAAAAAGAAGATTATACTTCTAAGAATAATAATATTAATAACGTTGAGCAAATTGTTCAACAAGATACTATTATAACTGATTCTAATGAAGCAAATATTCAACCTAATATTTCTATTGACGTCTTATCTATTGATAATGAAATACATATTTTTGAGAATAATGAAGGTGAATCTTCTGAACATGTAGAAGAGCAAGCTGAAAATCAAGATATAATGAAAACGATCGAAAATATAAATATGGTTAGTACTATTGATCAAATTACATATGATGAAGCTATTGGTGAAATTACATATAACGAAGCTATTGGTGAAATTACATATAACGAAGCTATTAGCGAACATAACAAATCATTAGAAAATTGGTTATTGTTTGAAAATTTAAATAATGTATTGTAATTTGCATTTATGTTGCTTAATAATCAATTAATATTTTATAATTTGCCTTTGCGTTGTTTAATAATTAATTATAAAAATAATAATTGCTA